TTCTCCTTCACCTAAGTTGCACCTTCAGTGGTAACTGAATCTCTCTGAAAAGAAGTCAGAACAACCAACCATGTTTTGATTTTGAGGTAAATTCTGACAGGTCAGGCCTTAGACTAGGCCATGTAGGAGTCATTTTGTGATGCCAGTAGCCCAATTTATAGATGAGCTTTGGAGACAGAACAACAGAGGTTGGAGGACACAGAAGAGGTAGCAGAAGGTAACTTCTAGCAGAGTGTTTCTGTACCGAGCCCTTATGGTGCTCCTCAGTTGTATGAGCCCTGGACCTCAAAGAGTCTTTAATCTAGAGATCCCCTCGTAAGAATATTGCAGAAGACAGAAGACATGCCCAGGTGATTCGTTGTACCAGCAGGTAAAAGAGAAAGAACTACACTGTCCACCTACTGTGCAACTTTGATTCAAAACAATATTAGGCTATCATTAGGGTCTAAATAAATATGTACAAGATGGTGAAGGCAAGATGCCTATGAAATGATGTTTTGCTCCAAGACAAAGTAGGTCCTACTAAATCATAGGAGCTGAGAGTGGAAATGGGTGCCCACAAAAAGAGCCTGATGAGGAGATGGACCACTGGTGGTGACTAACTGGTGGCCATCACTGGCACACTAGAGCAGACCTTGTTGCTAATCTCATGGTCTTATCAACGTCCTGTTTAATGCAGTGCTCTGTTCAGGACTAATGGATGCTTCCGAGGTGTTTTCTACAAAACCAGTGATTCATGATGACAATTTTATTTACCACTTACTTGCACCTTTGTACACAGTTAACACAAGCTGTATATAAGACATTTACGTCATTATTAGCACCTTTTTACTCCTCCCTCTGCACTAGCTTGTTGAATTTCCGTTCTATTGTTATTGCCATCAGCTTGATGCTGCATTTAGCTCTCTAACTGCTGATTTTCTATTACGGCTATTCAATGGTACATTTTGTTACAGCTCGTGTATTCATGTAATTCGATAGTTTCATAGCAATTCCTCTTTGTGGGCATGATCTATTCAGTCATTTCTGTGCAGTTTGTACCCTGGTATTCCGATGTTCCACTGATTATCGTTCTTCCACTAAGTTTCCAAGCTGTTGGTTTTAACAATACCTCTTGCTTAAATGGAGTGTTGCATATTCAGACCATTTGATAATTCTTAACAAACTGTACCAGCATCTAGCTTCTCCCTTTTCTGCCTTCAAAGGATATATCTATTTTTTCTTTACTTTTTAAATTACTGTTTCCCAGAAAATGAGCCAGCGTAATCCATGTGCTTTTTCATGCTTCTCAACTTTCCTTTGCCTCTACTGAGATTTTTCCCAACAGCATTTATTTCCCATTTCCCCTTCCCTCACACAGACACAGAAACAATGACAAAACCAGGTGACAAAGAATCCCATGTTTTACTGCAAAAAGGACCAAGATATGTATATTAGAACAACTTCCATTTTGCATTGGGAAAGACTTTTTACTTATTTCATAGGTCAGACTGTTGGAATGGGAAGTAGTTCTTGTGGAGAAGAGATGCAGTTTAGCAGACATAGTGTACAGTTCTGTTTTGCTTTGTTTTTTTTATTTCTTTTAGATCTTATATGTTAATGGTGGTATCTTCCAAAGCTGAGAAACATATGAACAAGGCTGTGTTTGTTCCTGATTGCTGGACATTCTATTTTTATTGTAGACTAAGCGTATTCCTTACATAAGTGAGATTTATACAACTGATTTAGTCTCTTTTCTCTGTTATTCTCTTACAACTATTTTTTTTTTCTTACAAATGCAATAAAAACAAAAAGAAAGGTCTTTTGTTTTGGAAGGAAGAGGGATGGAGAAGGAAGGGTATGGCTAAATGACAAATACATTTTTTTGATTGATTTTGTAATGAAAAAAATATGCCCTTTTTCTCCACTCTCGCGTAACAATTCTGTATTGCTGTTTGCATTCAGCACCAGAAAGAAATGACAATGCCCAGGTATTCATAGTTCAGATTCCAGTTTCTTCAGTTTCCTAAGTGTATTGAATCTCCACAGAGGCCACCCTCTTCCCATGAAGAAACAAGACAAAACAAACAAAAAATATTTATCCAAATAACATCAGGAACAGCACATTTTGTAACTCTGTAATGGGAGTCCAGGCTGAAAAATGAGAAGACATTCCATTACATCGAAATCCAAGGCCAGCATCTGGGGTTCTCAGCGCCTATCTTGTCCTAAAAATAAAGTTATTTTTAAGCAATAGAGGAAGAAAGAAGAAACAAACAATGCCACCAGAATTCAGCCTCAGTCATCCCCATGCATCTATATTCTTCTTATTATTATAGCTTATTATCAGCAAGGTCTGCAGCTGAGTGTCTCTGCACTATGTAGATACCAATGAACATCAAAGAGCAATGACACAACATGACAAAATATCCTTAGTCAGTCCCAACACCACAGTCTTACACTCAAGGTGTAAAATGATGGACAAAACATGGGAAGCAGCGCTATAGAGAGACAATATAGCCATGTCAGACATGATGCCAGGGTAAAGGCTCAGCTTTCCAGAAAAACAGTCCAGTTCCTGAGCCACTAGAGAGTTTTTTGTGTAAAATGATGGGCAAAACATGGGAAGCAGCGCTATAGAGAGGCAATATAGCCATGTCAGACATGACACCAGGGTAAAGGCTCAGCTTTCCAGAAAACCAGTCCAGTTCCTGAGCCACTAGAGAGTTTTTCCTACCTCTGAATGAAGTTTCTGAACAATTCAGACAACACTCATCTTGCTCCCAAAGATGTTCTTTCCCAGCATTTTGGGCAGTTTGATCAGCTCCCATGAATAGATATGCACCGAAGAGATAAGCCATGAGATAAGGTTGACTCTGCTCATCACACATTCAGTCACATGGCAGCGGATCAGCTGTGTGCCTTGCCTTCACAGGGGGTCCACGTAGTGCACTGCATGTATCCCACAGCCCTGCTCCATACTACAGTGGTTGTTGGACCACAAGTAGGTTCTAGTGTTTTCTACTTATGTGAGAAAGATGAACGTGTCTGGCTGCCCATGTCTTTCCCACTGAATAGTATAAGGAGTAGATGTGTAGCCAATATGGGAGTGTTTTCTACAGCAATGTCTACTATAGTTGGCTATAATCCTTCAGATTACAGGGAATGGGAAATACACAGTTCAGTTCTTGTGTTGGGATACAGCTCTAGTTTTTTTGCAACATACGGGAATGGCCAAGAAACACAAGCACTACTTTATTTTTGGACTCAGATACAGATTCCCTCTGAGTTAAAAACCAGTGTTTTGGGATTTGTTTGTTGTATGCTCTATGGCAAGGGGCCATTGCTCTTTCAAGGGTAAAGACTGCATTTGTCTTTCCC